CAGTTCAAGAGGGCCTAAGAGATTAACTTGGAGCTTGCAATCTTCAAATGCCAGTTCCTGGCCTACCATTATGCAAGAAACAGTATCCTTCAAGGCACCAGAGTAGAGTTTTGGGCAGTGGGAGACTTGGCAGCCAGCCCCAGAAAGCAGCACAGACCTCCATGGCGTTTCTCCCACTCTGCCTTTCAATCTCCAAGAGGCAGAACCTGACCTCTGTGAGAGGTATTTCTATAATTCACTGGGCATTCCCATTGCCCACTCGCCATGTTCTTTTTCTTTTTTTTTCCTTTGTTTCCTCCCCCCCTCCTTCTCCTTCTTTTTTGTTACTTGTAAGAAAATTTGTTTGTAGTACGAGAAGATACAAGCTAATGGCAACTATGTATATAATATGAAAGTGTCTAAAGTACTCTTTTCTCCCCGCTTTTCAATCATGCCCCCACTTTGCTGATGTAACATTGCATCAGCTGTAGGTGCTGTAGAAACTGAAGATTTGCAAGTGGATCCACTCTTCCCCCCAAATATATGCATAACCCTGAAAACTTTTTTTCATTTAACAAATATGTGGTGGATACTTTTCAAGCTTATCTCATAGAGATTGACCTCGTAATTTAAAAATGAAAAAAAAATTAAGATTTTATTTATTTATTTGTCAGAGACTGAGAGAGAGAGAGACAGAGAGCACAAGCGGGGAGAGCGGCAAGCAGAGGGAGAAGCAGGCTCCCCACAGAGCAAGGAGCCCAATACGTGACTCAATCACAGGACCCTGGGATCATGACCTGAACCGAAGACAGATGCTTAACCAACTGAGCCACCCCAGGCGCCCCCAAAATTTTAAATTTTTTTAAAATTAAGTTTTTAATTTTAATTCCAGGATAGTTAATGTATTACAGTGTTATATTAATTTCAGATGTACAATATAGTGATTCAACAATTTATACATTACTCAGTGCTCATCGCAATAAGCATATGCTCTCATTATGAGACTTGGTAATTTTTAAATTGGCTACATAATATTCTGTAGAATGAATGGACCATCATTTATTCAACCATTCCTCTCCTCTATTTATCAACATTCTTGTTGTTTCTAGTGTTCTGCTGTTACTAGCTGTGCAGCAATAAATACCTGCGTACATTTTGTTTCAAATATTAGTACTCTTATTTATTTATTAATTACTCGTATTTCTGTTGGATTCCATATGGCATGACTAGGACAAAGATTATACATTTTTTGGGAAAGATTTATTTATTTATTTTAGAGAGAAAGAACACGAGCAGAGGGAGGGACAGAGGGAGAGAAAGAGAGAGAGAGAATCCCTAAGCCTGACGCGGGGCTCGATCCCAGGACCCTGAGATCCTGACTTGAGCTGAAATCAAGAGTCTGACTCTGAACCCACTGAGCCACCTAGGTTCCCCAGATTATGCATTTTTAATTCTAAAAGTTACTGCTATATTTCTTTAGAAGTTGTAATGATATAGTATTAATAGATTATGAGTGCCCATCTCCCCACAATTTTGCCAGTAAAAGTTGTTAGTTATCTTTATTTAATGCATCTAATATGCTGACATCATACATATGCTAATGTATCCTAATATCATCAAATAGTCCACTATAGTTTCTTATATATGCATATCTTTATCTATATTTATGTATATGTACATATGTGTATATTACAACATTTATCCCTTTAATCTGCACTTTATTTTTATGTATGATGTGAAATAAACACCTAATTCTATTTTCTTCAAATGGAAAACCAACTACCACAAACTCTTTATTGTATAGCCTCTCAGGTTTGCATAGACCTGAGATATGATCTTCATCACATATATTTCCATAATACCAGTGTTTATTTCTGAACATTCAGTTGTGTTATGCTGATTATTTTCACCTCTCCTAATACCACACTGTTTGACTCTTGTGGCTGCAGAGTAAATTTTGATATCTAGTAAGACAAGTCGCTCTGTTTTTATTTTGTAAAATACACATAATACAAAATTGACCATTTTAACCATTTCTAATTATAGTCAAGTGGCATTAAGTACATTCACATTATTGTGCAGCCTTCACCACCATCTATCTCCAGGACTTTCGTCTCCCCCAGCTGAAAACCCTGCACCCATTAAACACCAATCCCCCATCCCTTTCTCCCTGTAGCTCTTACTAGCCATTCTACTTTCTGTCTCTATGAATCTGACTACCCTAGGTACCTCCTGTAAGTGGAATCATACAATATTTGTCCTTTTGTGACTGGCTTATTTCACTTACCATAATGTCCTCAAGGTTTGCACTGTCTTAGAAAATTATCCATTTCATATACATGTTCTAGTGTATGTGCATAAACCCTATACGGCATTCTCTTAAGGTTTTAACATTTATTATACTTATAACTGAGCCCCTCTTCTCATTTCTAAAGTTACTTGTGTTTTCATTTTTTCCCAATCGTATTTGCCATACTTACTCTTCAATTAACAATCCTTTGCATTTATTGAACAAGTGAACTATTTTCTGTTTTCTATCTCCATCTCTGTATACATATCTGATTTTTAATCCTTCCTCCCTTCCACTCCTCCCTCCCTCCTTCCCTCCCGCCACCCCTGTCCTGGTTCTTTCTTCCTTTTAGTGGGAGGCTTATTTGTTCTCTATCTAGCTTTTAAAATGTGTGCCTAGTTCACTTATTTTCAATCCTTTCTTGCTTTCCATGAAGTTCCAAGTGTGCCTAAATTTTGATGTGTAGTGTTCTGAGTATTGTTATTTTATAAGTAATTTGCAATATAAATTATGAATTTCTTTTTAATTCAAGACTAATTAGAAAATGCATTTAAATTTCCAGTGGATAGGGGCGCCTGGGTGGCTCAGTCGTTAAGTGTCTGCCTTCGGCTCAGGTCATGATCCCAGAGTCCTGGGATCGAGCCCCACATTGGGCTCCCTGCTCTGCAGGAAGCCTGCTTCTCCCTCTCCCACTCCCCTGCTTGTGTTCCCTCTCTCGCTGTGTCTCTCTCTGTCAAATAAATAAATAAAATCTTAAAAAAAAAATTTCCAGTGGATGGATTTTAACTTGACCATTTGGGTTGTTAGTGTTTTCGTTTTATTGCATCATAGCTGTGGAATATGGTTTGCATGCTTTCTGCTATTAAAAAAATCTTTTGAGAATTTTTTTGTGGTTGAATATATCATCAGTATTATAAGTGTTCCATGGATATTTGAAAAAGATGTTTATTTTGCTTCTTTTTGCTTACAAAGTTCTCCGTGTATTTATTAAATCAAGCATGTTAATTGTGCTATTCAAATGTTCTTGTGGTTCTTTTTTCTTCTACCAATTTCTGAGAGAGAAGTATGGAAATTTCCCATTTGATATTAAATTTGTCAATTGCTTTCTGGATTTCAAACATTTTTTAAAAATGTGGTTTGATAGTTGAATGTTCGATAGAATGAGTTTATATTTGCTTTATGTATTATACTGCCTTTGTCTTATTTAACCTTTTTGCCTTGACTAACTATAATGTTACTGCTCTGCTTTATATCACTAACTTTTGCCTACCATATCTTTGTCCATCCCTTTATATTTGATCTTTCTGGAATATTTTGTTCTAAGCGTATTTCTTGGAAACAGATATACCTGGATTTTGCTTAAAGAAAAACCTAATTTGAAATTCTGTCTTTGAATTGGGAAATTTATCTGTTACTGTTTACTAGGAAAATGGAAACATTTGGTCTAACTCTGACAACCCTGTTTGGTTTTCTATTTTTATGTAAATTAGTTTTTACCCTTTCCTGGAGTGATTGAGTTTTCTTTACTGACATTTTTTTGTTTACCCGGTTGAAAGATATACATACTACTACTATTTATCTACGGCTTAAGCTTATTTTTTATTAACACATTTGAATATGTACCCTTCTATCAATCGCTAACATTAGTTAGCATCTCTCGCCTCTTCCTTAAAACAAGGCAAGACTGAAACTTAGCGTCTCTTGTCTTTTCTCCTCTACTTCCTCCTCTGGTAGAAATTTCATTTCAATCTTGTGTTTGAGTTTTTTTATTATCTTGCCTCTATTTTATAAGGCTTTATCTCTATTATAAATAATTGAATTAGGCTTAAAAGCGCCATTATGAATCAATTTTGATCTAATTGTAAATTGTGTGCTATCCTTAACTTATCGTTGTTTCTTCAGTCATCTGTCTTTCTCTTCTTTGCATCTGTTTTTATTTTTTTCTGACACAAACTCTTGAATAAGTGTTCTTTAAGGGTGGTACATTTTTTGATTTCTTGAATATCTGTAATTGACTTTGTTGAGTTACTGGCTTAGGAATTGACACCCCAAATCTTTTTCCTTCTAAACTTTGAAGATATTTTTCCACTATATTTTAGGATTCCAATTTTGATTATTTTTCGAGTGAAACAACGAACGGCAGGCAGTGCAGTGACTCCTTCAGTTGGCTGGCTACTCTATTTTAGGCACAAAATTAGGCTACAGAAATTCACAGAAGGAAACACTGATCTATAAATAAATGTCTGTGGGAGTAAGAGGAGTGAATACCTGAGCGTGCTGAGGGTGGTCTCCTTTGCAGAGGAAACACTGAAACTAGACAGTGAAATTTACAACAGAAATTTACTACAGAATCTATAATCTTATCTACTCCAATTTCTGGTTCTTATATTACAATTAGGTAAATCTAGACTAGATTAGAATTCCATAGACTTAGAAATAAACATATTTTCCCCCAACTATCAATTAATCTTGTTCTAGTTCTAACATATGTAGCACTCTTCCCCTTTTCTGATTGCCTGGGCCAGAGTTCGGTGAACTAAGGTGTACCGCCCGCTTTTGTAAATAAAGTTTTATTGAAACAGCTATGCTCATTCATGTACGTGTTGTCTGTGGCTTCTTTCATGTTAAGGCAGCAGAGCTGAGTGGCTGCAACACAGACTGCATGGTTCACAAAGTCTAAGTATTTACTCTTTGACTCTTTTTTTTTTTTATATGTTATGTTAATCACCAGAAAACGTTGCTGATTGCTGCTGTAGGACGTTCATCAACACAGATGACCAGGGCTCACGCCAGTGCTCCTGCAAGCCAATGAAGGTAGGCTACAACAGCAAATCTTGACTTCCTCGGAGTGGCCGATGACGATATTGTTGCAAATCTGGTGACTCAGTTGGCCTATATTTTACACGGAAAGACGACGAAGCTTATCTCTCAATATGTCTTGTTAATAATAACTTGCGCTTTAAATTATTTCCTTTCTTCATTGTTGTTTTTTTCTCATGTTCTAGGAGTTGTGCAATTCAGCATTGCAATTTTCATTTCTTTGCGTGATGTGAGGGAAGCTGGCGTATTTGCTAATGTGCTGTTGTGTGGGCTCGGGCTGTTGATTGCTTTTGGCCTAGGTGCTGTGCTGAGCTCCAAGGTTTGGCTTTGTGAACGCTGCCTGGCAAAACGGAAACATTTTGTGAAATTTCACAAATGTCACATGCACCCGCACACACACACATTTTAAATTGCAAAATTCTCCCCCTTGGCACACAATTTTACCCAGGTTTTTGTGGCTTATAATAAATCTTTAACTATCTTCAGTCCTACAGGAACACTTTAGTGGGTTGACTTGCTTTTGCTTTGATAAAACTTGCACTTAAAAGTCCTCGGTTTCCAGGGTGTTCGTATTGTTTCCCCTTTCTCAAACATTTAATATGATCTTTTGTTCCAGAAGTAAAGCAGCTTTATTTCAAGCCCAACTGTTCTCTCAGACAAAGATCCCTGGTTTAATTCCCAGTGAAAATCATTTTTCAAGATGGGACCCGTAGAAACTGACCTCACAACATCACTGTTCTGAACTCAGAATGAGACATGGGGAGTTGATTCAGAGAAAAACCAAGCAAATTACATTCTTTTTGTGCATAAATTAAAGCATCTAAGAAAATGTAGCAAGAGTGCTTAATCCCAATGAAAACACTTCTTGGTGTATTGCTATATTTTCCGTCATGGGTAGCTAAGAGCCTTTTAAAAACAAGTCTGTCACACAGATGAAGGGACATTATTATTGTCCCTTCATACATGACATATAATACAATTGTATTATATGTCATGGGTCACAGATGACATTACACTATGGAGAGGTAAGCTTTTGCTCAAGGTCATTCAAGATGTCAGTGGGGGCCAGGCAGGCTTTAATTTTGTGGTTGGTGTATCTGTTCTAAGCATTCTGCCGATTTTACAGTATGCCTCCGGTTTAAGAAAATTCTTTCAATTTGACTCCCCAGATTTGCATCTCTCTCTGGGCTTTAAGCTCTATAGTTTCCTGACATTCTACTTACTGAGACATAACCTCTGACAACAGCCCCCTATCCTCATTCCTTCAGCTTGACCCCAGGGTCCTTGTGCCTGTAAAGTGTCATCCCAGCAAACATGATTAGATGGCTTGGCTGCCCCGTTTACGAGCCGTGTCCTTCTCGGTTTAGATGTACTGGGTGACAGTAATCGGGCAGCCCTCTGGATCCAGAGCACGCAAGTGCAACCAGACCAAATGGGACAGGCCCAGCCACACTATTTGAAACACATCATGTTTACTGGAGAGCAGATAATGCAGTTGAGAAACTCTAAAGAGAAAATTAGTGTCTTTATTTTGTCGGTTACAGATCTGGTCCCAACTGTTTGGAGAAGAAAGGAACTAAATGTTCCATTCAATCATTTAAATAGTACCTTTAGATAATGCTCAGTGTTCTGGGATAATTGCTCAGGACCTCTCACGGAAATGTTAAAGTTAAACGTGTGTGCTCTTGAGTCAGAATGTCTGTGTTTAAACCATGATTTTGCCACCGAGTAGCTTCGCGACCTTGAACAAATTACATAACTACTCTGTACCCCTGTTTCCTCGTGTGTAAACTAGAAAAAGAAATCTACCTCTGTGCGATTCAATTTGATAGTGACTAGCTACTTATGCCCATTTAAATTTAAATTTAAAGTAATTTCTGGATTACTTTGGGTGTACTAGCACATTTCAAAGATTCACTAGTCACATGTGGCTAGCGGATATTGTACTGGACAGCATAGAATAGAACATTTCTATCATAAAGTCTATTGGACAGCACCGGTCTACATCACAGGGTTAGAAGGGGGAGTAAATGAGTTAGTGCATCTAAAGTGCTTAGAACAAAGCCTGGCATATAGAAGGGGTTCAATATATTTATCATTACCATCATCATCATCATCACCGTCACCATCATTGTTTCTATACCTCTCTTCCTTCTCAAGTCCTCTTCAAAATGGTGGCTGGGTCTACTGCAAAAGGGGAGGGTTACTACACTTCCTGGTTACTAGTTTGTGTACAAATGTTTTATTTCCTGTACAATCTTGTAAGCTTCCATGTGACAGGATTTTTATTTCTGAAGAGAGACACCATCATACAATAGCTATGAGTAAGGCCCGTAGAGCCAACCAGCCTGTTTTGAATCTCAATTCTGCCATTTAGTAGCTGTGTTACCTTAGGCAAATTATTCACTCCTTCTGTGTCTCAGTTTCTACATAAGTAAAAGGAAGATAAAATGTAATAGAATCCCATAAAGATTGTTGGAGAGAATTAAATGAGTTAATGCAGATACTTAGAACGGGACCTGGCATTGCCCGTTCTCAAAAAAATATTACCTCTCATTTATATTATTATTTCTGCCTTGTTCTCCTCTCCTCTTCAAAATGACACTGGTGTCTACTGAAGAAGTTTGGGCTCACTCAGTCTCCTGATGAGGAAAGATGTCAGAGTTCTTTCGTTCTTTTGGTCTTCGGGGTGAGGCCCCTTTGCCCCTTTGCTGACTTTTGGGAGTGAGATTTGTTGTTGATTTGATCTGTGATTCAGTAGGTCTATAGCCCTTTCTGGCTGACGTGACCATTCCTTGGCTCTGACTGGGGCTATAGACCCATTGCATTTCTGCCATACCTTCCTTTTGGTTTCTGTTTGGGTGGTCACTCCCAGCTTCCACTGCAAGGTCTCTCTCCATCTCATGATGGCTGGCCCCTGGACATTCGACTCTTGTCCGCTAAGCTTGTTAGCCCCGTTTGGCAGAGCTTCAGGAACTTCTGGGCTCCATCCATATTGGATCCATAGGTTGATTTCAAGGTGACTGCCATATAGGTAGATCTGAAACAGGTCCATCCTCCATACCTTCTTCAGTTTGCCTAGCGATTTGAGTTGGAAATTACCCCCATCCTACCTGGCAATCAGTTTCAGCCCATGTGGATCCTCTTAGAGGATGAGGTCATCTAAGGCAGGTCCCAGGAGAAATGAGACTTCTCCTCAGACATTCTTTAAGACTGACAGCCATGCCAAGGTGCCTTGAGGAGCCTTTGGATCATCATCTCCACCCTGGGCCTAGAGATTCCGTGATAATGACTCCACTACCCACCATTCAGTCATGACCTGAGGTTGGAACCTGGCTTTGGGCATGTGTATCCAGACATAGCGAATGGCGTTATGCCTATGGATTCCAACCTTAACTGGTAAGTGGAATTCTGAATCGATATGGTAGAAATTAACATGTCGGCAAAGGAGGGCAAGAAATAAATGCATTAAACACTGTGAAAGTAGAGTTAGTACGTTTGGCCACTGACTAGATGTGGGAGGCAAGGAAGAGAAGATTCAAATCTGACTTCTAGGTGTTGAACTTGGTGATTGGGAAAACCAGAAGTTTACATGCTGTCCTCCCAGTTGGATCTGCCCCTAAAGCAGAGAACCCAGACATTAGCTATGCGGTATACCCTTGCTGATGATGTAAGTGTGATGGATTTGTTTTCATAGGTTCTGAGAAGGCAGGTCCAAGGGCAATCATACTTTAAAGGTGAGGCTGACATTTATGGGACTATATATGATATGTAAATATAACTGGGATGAAAAATATAATATTCAGGCAGGTAACAATTTGGACATCTTATCTCTAGTATCAGTAATTGGGGTTTTCAAATAAAGCCACAAGTAATTGAAATTAAAAAAAATGGATTCTCTCCAGGAATGGCCTGACAATGTGGGTAAGGTACCACATCCTCAGTTTAGAGTCCATTGTGTATCTCAGAAAAGGGAAGTTGCCTTTCTCTTTCTTAAATGAGAATTTGCATGGTATTTATGATTTTGGGCACTGCCATGAAAGAGTAATACGTCCCCAGGTGCACAGGAATATTATTTGATGATGATGAGCACTTAATGAATAACTTTCAGAGTGTTGTTTATAATTACTCTGGTAATAGTAATTATAGATCCAAAAGCAAAAAATCCTGACTATTAGATTTAAGATAAGAGGTTAAACCTCATATAAAAGTGATCATTTTTAGTAGTTGTGGAGAAAATGTTGAAATGACTAAAGGAACATATGGGGAACTACCAGCAGACCAATTCATGTGTTGCAGCTATTTAACTGAATTACAAATGCAAAATGCATTCTTTTCCCAGTTTCATTCCATTTAAACCCAAATGGCTATGTGAAATGGTGTCATACACCTGGTGAAAAGCTTTGCTTTTAAAAAATCTTATCGCTTCACCAAAGCGCCTGGTGTTGAACCAACAACATTCTTTCTGTATTTTTAAAACAAATTTAACCATTTTCCAGAATATCCACTTCTCTTTGCATGCAAAAACGAAGCACCACAAGAAATTTAATTTAACCCCCTTTTCTCCCTAATGGTTTTATTGACATCAGTGATGGTGCTAGTCACTGTTAGGAAAGTAAATGAGAGGAGATTTTTTTTTTCACCTTAAATCTAGGAAAGAATATTTTGTTGTTGTGGTTATAAGTGGAAGGTTGTGTTATAAAACCGTAAGAAGCACTCTTCCAAACTGCTAAGAGAACGCAATGAACAACGGAGGAATAAAACCCACAAAGTAAAAACTTCAAATTATACTTGAGAGTGCAACTGAAGAAAAACAGAAATAACATTTAGTTGAGGCAGAAAAAAATTGAGCTCTCTTATAAAAACACATTAAAATAATATTTGATCTATTTGGGAACACAGGCTGTATTTAGTTACAATGAGTTATATAAATTGGACGTTGCAAACTGTTGGCCCTTGAGACATATCTGGTACGCAGTTGTGTTTTATTTGGT